AATATATATATATTCATATAATGAATATATATATATATTCATATAATGAATATATATATTCATTATAATAATAATATATATATATTCATATAATGAATATATATATATTCATAATAATGAATATATATATTCATTATATGAATATATACATATATTTTTTCAGAAGATTGTAATTCTCTTTCCCCTTTTTAGCTATTATATCTCCACTTCAAGTTTTCTGATGACCTAGTAATGATTTGGGATGATGGAGAGAGAAAGTTGGAATAGCAGGAGACCAGAGAAATTCCTGGAAGAGGACGATAATATGATCCATTATAAAGCATTACCTAAAGCTTTTATTGTATTTTTTTCTGCTGAGGATCACACTCTGGCCTTCACACGTGCTAGGAACCTAAAATTTTTATTTGATGTATTTTTCCCAAGGAGTTCAGTGGATTTTGGGGGTTTTCTTTCTTTCTTTCTTTCTTTCTTTTTTTTGGCATCAGGAATAAACCCAGGGGTGCTTAACCATTGAGCTACATCCCCAGCCCTTTTCTGCTTTTTATTTCGAGACAGGGTCTTGCAGAGTTGCTTAGGGCCTTGCTAAGTTGCTGAGGCTGACTTTGAACTTGCAATTCTCTTGCCTTAGCCTCTTGAGCTGCTGAGATTATAGAATGCCTTATCATGCCCAGTGAGTTAAGTGGATTTTATACTAAGAAATATCCTGAAGAATCCTGCTAGTAGGTAATAGGGAAAAAGATTAGAGTTGCCAATGCATCTTACACAGGACCTTATATACTTGTAATATTTCTGCTGTCTATTGCATCTGTGTTACTAAGGAAAACAAAACTGCACAATTTTTGCATCCAACAAACTCACCAAAACGTTTACTCTTGACCTTCCTTGAGACTTTATAGCATCAGTTTCGCTGTGGTTTGATGAAGAAGTTACACTGTCATGTGGTTTCCTGATGTTCATGTATGTAATGCAGGATTATGAGCCTCTTAAAAACAGGACTTTTGTTCCAGTCCTAAAAGTTTAGTCATTAAAAATAATTTAACAATCTGGTTATTAACTGTTTTTTTGGGGGGTATGTGTGTGTGTGTGTGGGGGTCCTCATTCTTCACTTTCTTATTTTTCGTATTTTCTTTTCTTTTGGACAAAGTGTCACCCAGTTTGTCAGCACATTGCAGGTGGAACCAAGATGGGTAGTGATTAATATGGCTGAGGTTTTGTAGGATCATCCAGGGAGTTAGTTAAAAGCTTATTTGCTTCACAGGAAATATGCTAAAAGAAAAATAAAAGAAACCAAAAGAATCTGTATTTTATAGACCCATTGATATAATATTTAGAAGTGGAAATAAAATATAGAACATTTTTGGAGAAAACCAGTTTGTATCTTTGCTAAATATCCTGTTGCCAAATTAGACCCAATTCTGTTTAAGGAGAAGTTAAAAAATGGATTAGGGACAAAAGAATAACTTAAAATTATCAACTCTCTTCATTTTAATTTTTAATGTAATGACATGCTACTATGCTAATCTAGTGATAAGCCATCCCTGAACTACAACTGTATTCCAGAGAGAACATCACTAAATTTGAAAATTTGACTTTATAAAGTAGGGTCTGGTGTTTACCACTTCGATTTCCCTTTCATCCTCCGGAACTCTTCCTTATCTATATTTCCATGACTTTCATTTTCTGACTTTCTAGGTTCTCCTTTTTAGGGAGAAAACTTACATCTTATTATTTATTTATTTATTTTTGTATCTTCACTGCTCAGTACTGGTACTACTAAATGAGAGATGCTCATTTAATGCTCTTAAATTTACCTACATTCTAATGTAATGATTAATTTTGCTTTTTTTATTTGATGAAAAGGAAATACCTATTAAAATCCAAGGGATCCTTACAACATTATTAGGAAATAAAGCAAAGGCAGTGAAGAAAAGCCAATCACAGGACATTTTCCACTGTAACAATCGATGTTTATCCAAAGCTGTGTTTATAAATATAAGTGACTCACATCATCAACATGAATGAAAAGTTTATTTGATGAGGTTTCTAAATTGTCGTGAAGTTAGGTGATCCAAGAGTGCTAAAAGCTTCACCATTGGTGAAGGGAATCAGATGTGGTGGTATACTCGGTACGTTTGAAGAAAACTTAAGTGGACGTCCATTTTCACCTTGAACTAAAGTTATAACAGCTCTAAAGTAGGAATTCCAAAATACATTCCAGTATTACAAAGTCCATTTAATCAACAATCACAGGGGCACCTTTCTGTTTACCTAGAGTTACCTTTTCTTCTCTTTATTATAATTCAGGGATGTAAGAATTCCCTTGAAGATTTTTAATTTACACACAGTCTGCTAATGTATCTGAAATGTCTCATAAAATGTCAAAAATTGGGCTTGAAATCAATATCTCACTTGGTTTTACCAACAAGTTAGAAGAGGTTGAGTTATGAAAGAAAAATTAAAAAGGCAAGTGGAATCCTGAGGGAAATAAACAATAGAATTACAAAGAGAAGCACTAAGGTGGAGTTAGCAATAAAGTCAGGGAAACATCTCGAGAGACAAGAAGATAAACCTGATGAACAGAGAGCTCCTGAGGCAGATTTGGCCTTTGGGAAGAAGGACGTGGAAGAATCCTGTGGGTGATGATATGCCAGGTAGTGAGACTGCCAGGGCAATGGCTCAGAGCATGCACAGAAGTCCCAGAGAGCCAGTAATTAGAGGACATGCAAGGACCCCAAGTGGGACTGTTTTTAAACCTGGATTCCAAGGACACTGATGTGTTTACTAGGAATTCCAAAGGGCTTTATAAGCAAGAATGGCATTGAGAAAGAATAAGGTCACTTAGCATCTACTTGGGAAGTAAGTGGGCATTAGTAATGAACATAAAATCATGAGCAAAGAAAGTAGTGATTCATAGGGCAGATTTGTTAATTAATTATTATTATTTTTTGATCAGGAGAAGTCATAAGAGATTTTTGATAGGTCTGACCTAAGGCTGTGTGGAAGGAAGTGTCAAGAGATGAGGCTGCATTGAGAACAGGGGCCAGACTCTGAAGGGGCTCATACACCTCACTAAAGAACTGAGACCTATGGAGGCCCTGGGTTCTACCCCTACTTCTGCAAATGAATGAATGAATGGATAAATATTAAAATAAAAAAAGGGATTAGATTTCTCATTCAGAAAGTACCAGAACTTGGTGGAGACCAGCGGTGGGTAGTCAGGCAACAAAGGGTGCCTGCTGGGTGTGGGTAGTTTAACTACCTGCCTAATGGCCATGAATTGTCAGGACAGGGATCTGAGAGCTGGGAGGCAAAGAAAACCAAGAACTGGGGTTTATAGTTCTGAGTGCTTTGCTTTTACACTTGGACTTTATTTTCCTCATTTCGAGGACCCAGTCCCTTGTACCTCCCCTCACCCCCTGTCATGTCACCATCTGTTTGTGCTGCCTCAGCTCCATACAATGCTCCCCTGTAACTTCTGTGAACCCACTGCACTGTTTCTCACCCCGGGGCCTTTGTCTGGGCTATGCTGTCTGCCTGGTATGCTGTTCCTCCTACTTGTCACCTGCCTGCTGTCCTTCCTCCCTTCAGGTCCCAGCTTCAAGATAACCTCCCCAGACAGGCCTTCTCTCCATCTGACCGATGAGTGTCACAGTAGTTAAGAGCACAGTCTCTGGGCCAGGCTGCCTTTGTTAAGACTCCCAGGGCTGCCCTTTTGTAGGGTATATAAGTTGGAAATTGTTGTGCAGGCTGGTCTTGGCCAAGTTATTCAAACTCAGGGTCCACTTTGCAATTTGTAAAATAGGGATAATAGTACAGGTGAGGTGAGTGAATAATTGGACAGCCTTAGAACAGTGACTGGCATATGTTGCACTATGAGCATTTTAAGTACCATTGTTTTTATTTGTTATGTGTTAATGACTTGCTCACAGCCCAGGTAGACTCTCTTCCCCCCATTAGCATAAAAATAAAGTAATAGAAATACTGTCACTTTCTGGACAACAATAATTCTCATACTTGTGCCTTGCATATATCTGTAAGTATCTCTTAGATTCGACAGGTCTCCCAGGAACCATCTGGCTTCCTGACTCCACAGTCATGATGACACGTGAGGATTCTTCTGGCCATCTGTCCTTCTGATTGGGAATGTCCTCTCTTCCTTATCCATGAGGGCTAGCATGACATTTCTTTGACTATTATTTATAAGACCATTAATTCATTTCTTAAAAATAATGTATTTATCTCTTATAGGATTAAAGGTTATTTTTTAACCGTTGTTATTAAGACTTTTAGTATTATCTGTTTTTGCAACTGGAAGGTTTTCTTTTGAAACCAAATAGATATTTAGATTTTGATAAAGTCATTAAACTCTTAATTTTGTAACTTTTCAGGTAAATAATTCCATGATTCTCCTGTTCAAAAAAACACGAGGTGAGAAAAGTATAACGCCGTAATCTTATTTTCACTTTCACTTTCTTGCTTCCTATGCGAGGTCTTGTTATTGAATTCAATAAATATTTGATTAAAAAGAAACCATCCCATGGTCTTCCCAGTGACTTGCT